GCTTTTCTCTGTAGTGAAATTATGTTTTGTAGGTATACATATTCAGGACCGCAAACTTTATATTAAGTTGTACAATGCTGTAATGCACATTTCGTAGATAAATAAATAAAATTTCCAATCCAAAAATATTCTTCTCGTTTCACCCCTACCTAAAAGTTTCTAAATGTTCATAACTTCATCAAAATCAAGATTTCAAGGAATGATTATTCGTTTCCTGTTAATGGGAATTCAAACAGTGCTGTTAGTATATTCCCCAAACTTCTGGGACAACCTATATGCAGACGTGGGCGACAACATCTAACACACGGAAAGATATTTGGCGACGGTAATCTATAAAGTTTCATAATCTAAATGCCTACCATTCTTGAAAACTCTGGCGGTACCTTGAAGCCTTTCATTCGAACTGAATCAGACTGTAATTGTCCACAATTTCGGAACGCTTTATTAAAAGTGAAATGCCAAGGACAACTAGATCTGCTGCTGGGCTGGTACGCGGATGTTGGGTATGGTTGGGCGTTAAGAGGATATGGTCCAGTCGTCTGGTATACATATGCGTGATTATCATGCTCTCCTTTGTCTTTGTGACTCTGCAACTTTCATTTGACTTTTGGTTACCTTGGCAAGAATAACGTTTTATTCCTATTTCATCTGAGCAGCCAGGATTTCACTCCGGGATATTTTTTTGTGTGGAATGTTAGTGGCCTTGCCTCTAGCCAATGGTATATTTACATTTTTAAAATTCTCAATGAGAGTTCAAGTAATTTAAAATGGTTATGGATGATTACATTATAAATGAAATGCTCGTGACGTTCACATTATGAAAATTTTCAACTTTTCTTTTTCGAAATCTTTTATTTTTCCTGTTAACCAACAGAATTAAGTTATATCAACACTTACTCACTTAAAAGCACTCCATGATTCTGAAATAACATCAGGTGGAAATGTGAAACATTTTGTAATGATTTAATTTAGATTCATCTGATAGAATAATAAACGCTGTCTACTTTAAAAATCAGATTAAAAAATTTGCCCCTCGGTTCATGGGTTTTTCAAGACGCCCAGAAATTCCTTCGTTATCTTTCAGAAGGTTTACATGAGGACCTTAATAGAGTTACTGAGAAACCTAAACCAATATTAAAGGTTGACATGAGGACCTTAATAGAGTTACTGAGAAACCTAAACCAATCTTAACGAAGATTGACGAAACGACGAAACACTGAGCAACAACGGAAAAGCATAAGAGTCCTGGCTGAGATATTTGTAAACAATTTCGTTGGTCAATCAAAATCCACTATGAAATGCACACACTGTGGAAACTCATCACTAACCTTCGATCCTTTCTGGGATTTGTCTCTCCCCATACCGCAAAGAACTGACCAATTGAGTTTATCACAATGCTTGGATTCCTCCACAAGAGAGGAATCTCTGGTTAGAGATGAAAAACCAACGTGTTCGAGGTGCAAGGAAAGAAGAAAATGCACAAAGTCCCTATCAATCCTAAGTTTCCCCATATTTTAGTAATACATACATTTAAAAAGATTCTCTCCAACGGAAAGATTAGGAGGCAAATTTAATATTGCCATTGAATTTTCTTTAGAAGAATTATATATGATCAATTATGCAGCAGACAATGTGACCCCTTGTCGTTATAATCTATATACACTTTCGAATCACAGTGAGACTACTTAAAACGGGCATTATACAGCACAGTGCAGACACCCATATAGTGTCACGTGGCATGCATACACAACGAGTCACACGTGTGTCCAATTTCACCAAAATCGCTTGTGAGTGAGGATGCATATGTCCTCTTTTATGAACAAGAAAGAACTAAGCCGCACCTTTGAGGTGATTTTTTTTTTTTTTTTCATAAATTAAATCTGTGAAATGATTTGTATTTCATAGTTTGCAAAAATATACATTATTATTATTTTAAAAAAAAATGCAATTTGAAAGGATGAATTTGTGTCGATCCAATAGATGACGTGTTCATGAAGGCCATTTTTTCTACGGTATTGGATTGTATTCACTTGTTAAATGTGGAAAAATAGGTAGTACAACGAAACTAGTGACGTTCATTTTTTCATTTTTTGACAACTCTCGAACTAACTTGTCATTTGTAGTCACCATACATAAGTACTAGTTTAGGTAACTTACATTCTTACTAATAATGATTTTCAACAAACTATTATTCTTTTTTATTATATTGTTGGATATTAAAAGAAAAAATACCTAACCTTACTTACAATTTTCACTAGATTTGCCGTGAACTACTAACAAGAAACGTCAAATAAGTGGTATTTTTGAAAAGGTAGCTGAACGATCTTCAAAATTAGGTATAACATATCCCACTTAAAATTTCAATGATTGTGTCCGCTTCTGCTAGAGGGTTGATGTAATTTAATTGAAAATTTTTTGCCAAAAAAATTATCCTATCAAATTTGTCTATTTCTAGTCATGTGTGTCGAAATAACCAGTTAACTCCTCATGGATAGTTTTCACGGGTAGTTATCACTTATGTCATGACATTGCTAAGCAACCAACACAATAAAGTTGTTTGACATTTCAGTAATTCAATTTATTTCGAAAATGTCACTTCCTCGCTTTGGTGTTAATAACTGTGTGTTCAATAAATAATTTTGTTCGAATTGCAAAAAATTTTCTCAGATAAATAACTCATAATTTTATCACAACTTCCTCAAGCACGTTATTTTAGGTAACATCCCTCCGCCTTCGGCGTCGGGATGTTACCAAATAACGTGCTTTCGAAAACTGTGATAAAATTATTTCGTTAGTTATCAATGTCCTTGGGATATTATAGCTGAAAACTAGCTCATGAAATGTCTCCCTTGAAAATAAGTTTGACATATTTTAAAATTTTTTCAGGGACCGACATATAGAGGGTGATACGTTTTAAAGATGAACTCTATATGTTCAATACGCCAGAGTAAGCTATTTGTGAACTGTTTTGTGAAAATCTTTCAATAGATTTTCGTCGTGAATCGGCCAATTTCAAAGTTTGAACAGGTTATCAATGTTATTGTTTATAAGTATATGAGAGTTCGCTATTCGAACGATTTTAAGACGGTTCAAAATAGTTATCCAGCACATTTGACAGTTCGAAAATCGTTCAAATAGCGAACCCAAATACAGCTTAATTGATGGATGTAGCCGTTACTACGTGGTGGGAGATCATAATGAAAAAAAAATACAATAGTTTATTGTATAAGTTTGAGAATGTCCATGTAGGACCAAACTGCAGTAACGTTAGTTACAAATAAAAGTGGTGAAAAACATAGAAATTTTCATTTCTCTTTTTACAGCTTATATGTTTCAAATAAGGATAATTGTTTATCAACCAAAGTTTTTCTGCCCTGAAAGCGTTGCTCTGGCTATATAGCAGAAGATAATGTTCTTTGTAAACCAAGTTATATAACGAATTTCAAAAAACCGTATCATCTTAAGCAGTACATTATCGAAAGAAACAAAAAACACGAAATCTACAGCTATTAGCTGTGTTCTGTCTGGCTAGGAGCTTTATAAACGAGAAAGTTTTCCGTTCACTTTAGATTTTTTATCCCGAACTGGATCTACAAACGTCCTTGCGATGCATTTTTGTTAAGAATAGGCGCAATTACCTTTTGATTAATTCAGATATACAAGGTTGGCAAAAAAGTTGAAAATACGGTAATATCAGTTTTTTCATTGATTTGAGACCGTTATACCTATTCTTGAAAACGTGTCGACAATTCTTTAGATTTATATTTCATATGTGAATGAATTAGATACCTACATTTTTATATTATCAAGAACACTTCTCAGTCACTTACATAGTTGATTTCTTTCAGAAGCATTCGTGAGCCTTTATTCTCCAACAAGGCGAACTCAGATAAGAGCAGTTCAGTTGAGAAACGAATAATTCAGTAAAAACAAAAAACTGTATCAATATACTCAACCTTCAGTAGTGGCTCAATAAAAACCTATATAATTACTTTTGCATTATTTTACGATATTTCCATTCTGTAACTCGAAAAATTAAAAAAAAAAGTGGCCAAAGTATTCGTTCTTTCAGCAAAAATATTTTGAATTCCTGATACTTCAAATCATATTTTTGTGCGTATCATACGTAGGATTTTTTATACAGTTACTCCACTAAACGTCACAACGGTACACTGCTGATTCTTCATGTAAATTAACTTTCCTCTTTCACTTATCATAAATAATATTTTGATGGCCACATAACAATACCGATCCGTTGTTTCTAATAACAGGGGACATTTATTATATGGTAATATATCATTTATCCTAGTCTGTGTCATAAATTCAATAGAAACAATAATTATGTTTTGAGTAATGGATTCTCCAAAAATTGGCAAAATAATTTCAAAAACACATTACAGCAGATGGAGCTGCAGAGAACATATTTCTCAGAAGATAGTATTCACTATAGGTTGATACAAACAATGTAAATATTTTTCAATTTCTGGCTTGTTCAATGATATTTTAACGTGAAACCGTTTTTTGAATAAACATCAAAGGTGTTTACACATCTGGTACGTTTATGGGTTATCTTCAAATATATACAATTCTTGTCCAAATTGCTGTAGTTTGTTTTTGAATTCATACTTTTTCTACTTTTGAATTTGAAATTCAACTCAAAATGGCACATACTAATGTATCAATGTTTTTTCTCAATTTACCCCAAAATAATAATTTTCAAAGTTGTTTCAATCTAGTTTCTGAATATCATTTTATTTATCTTATATATGTAATGTCAAAAACATATCAAAGAAAGCTATTTTAAGATTTCCTGTATTCAATCATTTTTAAACTATTATATCACCTCGAAGGGTTATCTAATTGTGAATTGTGTATATCTAACTCATCATAGTATGATTTATGGCGTTAGGAATATTATTCTATGAAAAAGTTAACGAATTAGTGCTATTAAGAATTTTATTTCACAAAAATATTTATTTTCGGTTTTTTTCTTGTTTCAGCACAAGAACCGTTCAAGAAACGAAAGGATGGGACGTCTTCAGGGACCCTCCAAGCAAGGAGGTTTCGAGCTCTATGGCCGACCAAAAATGTTTAGAACTGACAGTAAAAATTCTCAAAGTTGTTGCCTACTTAGTGACGTTCGTTATAGTACTAGTATCAGGAGTAATAGCGAAAGGAACTCTTTTATTCATGACGTCGCAACTTAAGGCTGATAAAATCATCACATACTGTAACAGGGAATTAGGTAAATTCATATCATTTCATATCAATTCAACAGATTTTACTTCAAAATACAAGTTTTTCTCAGTGTACGTCCAAATAACATTCTTCCACATTCAATATAATTATCATGAGTCCATCACATAACAAAATTTGAATATTGAATAATGAATATTGGGATTATATCGTCATTTCAGCTTGAGTTCAGCCACAAAGTCATTAACGTATTATACTATTTCAGGCAGAGAAAAACAATTTATAGTTAAGTTACCAACACCAGAACGAGTAGCATGGATGTGGTGCATATTTTTCGCCTTTACTATACCTCAGCTTGGGGCTCTATTCCGATCTACAAGGATGTGTTACTTCAAGTCCTCCAAGAGACCTCCATTTTCCCATTTTCTGATTATTTTTCTAGCAGAAACTGCGCAAACTGTAGGTATTGCCATTTTGGTTTTCCACATACTGCCAGATATTGATGTCGTCAAAGGTGCGATGTTAACCAACTGCCTTTGCTTTGTACCAGCTGTCTTGGGTAAGAAAAATCAATTTTTTCAACATTTCATTGAAAGTGGCCATTCATTCTGCCATACTTGAAATCTATTGAGTTTTTTTGTGTTTTAGGGTTACTTTCAAGGAATAACAAGGAATCTCAACGGTACATTAAAGTCATTATAGATCTCATAGCCATTGCAGCGCAAGCCACTGGCTTTATTGTGTGGCCAATCATGGAGGGGCGAGCAGACTTGTGGATAATTCCCGTCGCCATTTTCATGATATCTGTCGGCTGGTGGGAAAACTACATTTCTAAGCACTCTCCGTTACCATTCATCAAGAGACTGGGGAAGATAAAAGAAAATTTCGACCAGACGAGATACTTCACTTACATGTTCATTTCTACCTGGAAAATTTTGTGTTTTCTAATCTGTATCATGTTTATACTGCTAGTGAGGGAGGGAGAGATGGGCTTTTTTTTCACGGAGTTTTCTGAAGGATTCGGGGCTCATCCAATTACTATATTAGAGGTAAATTTTGTAGCTTTTTAAAATGTTCTGGTTGAACATTTACTCGGTTTGTAGCTGTAATTTATTGTGAAGAACATATTTCAATATATCACAATCACATTTAGTTTACCAGAAGCTGATTCAAGATAATAACTTTTTGAGGACATTTGACAGATCTTAAAATTATCCTTTCAAAAACTTAAGCACGGACTTTTTTCCTTATTCAACATACCTGCTCTGTAAAGTCATTGATGAATTTTTTGTCAAGTAATTCAATGAAATAGTGAAACAAAATGAGCTTGTTTTGTTAGTTCTTATTGAAAAAATCAGTTTGTTACCAATCAAGATAAAATTCATGTTTTATTTCGAAATGTTATTCATTTCCGTCCAGCTTCCTCGAACATCACTTTATATAGATCAAAATGTTCAACAGTTTGCTATCTAAATATGTTTTTCGATAAACAGATTACTCCAAACAGTATACAAGACAACTCAAAACACAATTGTTTTAGTAATAATCATTGAAACTATGCTTCAACTGCAATATCAATGTTTCAATGTAGGAACAACTAGAATTATTTCGGTCATCTGCTATGTATCAAAAAGATACATAGCAGATAATATTATAGAAATATGAAAACATATGCAGTACTGTTGACTTCTTTTTAGATCAAACCAGTCCTGGGAGGAACATCTCTACCAGACATATCCGAGATTTTACCTACAGGAGACGATACCGTTGTTCAATCCAGTGATATCACCCCAATCTACGTTCTAATGATCAACGTACTTGCCTCCTACCTAACCTACATTTTCGGCAAGTTCGCCTGTAAAATCATGATCCAGGGATTTTCGTACGCATTCCCCGTTAATCTAACTATTCCAGTTTCCGTTTCTCTTCTGATAACAGCTTGTGGATTAAGGAATGGCGATCCATGTTTCTTCCATGACACGATTCCTGATTATCTATTTTTTGAGTCACCTTCTGCCGCATTTCTCAACGATTTTATTCATCACCAGCATGCTTGGGTTTGGTTGTTGTGGTTGCTGTCTCAGACTTGGGTGATGATACACATCTGGACACCAAAATGTGAGCGTCTCGCTAGCACTGAGAAGTTACAAGTTGTGCCCTTGTATGATGGTAAGATATAACCTACTTATTTGTCAGAGGTTTGATATATGGTTGGCTACCCAAAGCATACCGCGAAGCATAACTAACTGACACCTTTTCCGGAATTGAAAACCACTCAAATGATTAATTTTGAAACTAATAGGATACTATGCTTATCCGAATCTTTCGGCAAGCCAAAACCCAATTCTCAAAAGTAAAGTAGGAATGGAGAAGGAATCAAATGTAATTTTCCATGAGATACAGCTTGACCACATATCTATTTTAAAAATTGAAGAACGATATACCCGCTTAGAGGGTTGAAGGTTAAACAACAGTTTTCACGTCAAAACGTGTCCCCCTTACAAAACAAACTTGACTTTTAGATTTTTGCGAAAGTTTTTTTCCTAGCTGTTCTGCTTTGTGGTACCGACGTATGCGATAGCCCACTCTTTATATTAATCGGTTGTCTTACTAGACGTTCTTAACATTAAACCAACATTTTTCCAGGTCTTCTTATCGATCAGAGCATGGGACTCAATAGACGCAGGGATGACGAAGCTGATGTTAAACCAGAAGACTTAGAGGAAATACAAAAAGAAAAAGCAGACGAATACTACGAAACTATATCCAACCACACTGATGGATCATCTCCGAAGAATGTAAAGAACTCTGACCATATTACCAGAATTTACGCTTGTGCTACTATGTGGCATGAAAACAAAGAAGAAATGATAGAGTTTTTGAAGTCCATTTTAAGGTTAGACGAAGATCAGTCGGCCAGGAGAGTAGCACAAAAATATTTGAGAGTCGTGGATCCAGATTATTACGAATTTGAAAGTAGGTGTTATTGATAATATATAACTCAAGAGTTTCACAATCTCTTTTTAGCCCATATTTTCTTTGACGACGCCTTCGAAATTTCCGATCACAACGACGATGATACTCAAGTAAACCGCTTCGTTAAGCTTCTTGTAGCTACTATCGATGAAGCAGCTTCTGACGTGCATCAAACCCACATTCGTGTACGGCCTCCTAAGAAAATTCCGACCCCATATGGTGGTAGGTTGATCTGGCAGTTACCTGGAAAAACTAAGATGATTGCTCACTTGAAGGATAAGATGAAAATAAGACACAGGAAAAGATGGTCCCAGGTAAGCTGAACAACAGTAGTGGAAAGTTTTTTCATTTCATGTTTTGTCAGACATTTTCGAGCGGATAATTAATGATTGATGAGAAACCAAGCTTTAAGTACATGTAATGAAAATTGAGAAATAGAAAAGTATTGAGAAATTTCAAAATGAAAGTTTAGTCCCTCAATGAAATTGAATTATTTGGAAGAAGACTTAATTGAACATGTATTAAGTTACCCCATTCCAAAAACAAATGTATATAGGGTCTGCTTTCATACCAATTCTGCAGCCCAATGGATAGATATGTCTTCCAATTAGATCATCAGTTTTAGTCAATTATTTTTTCTTTTGCGATATAGTAATTATTACTTCACCCTTCATTTTCTCAGTAGGTTTACTTGCTCAGGAACTGTTTTGCTACCTCGATTCCTTTTGTGGAATTTCAGCATGGATTTCTGAAAAAACAAATCTACAGGTATAGTTCTCCTTGATTTTGTCGTTTCATAAAAAGATGCAGTGATATCTTATGAACCGAAGTAAAAAAATATTGATTAAAAACAACAATGAAAATATTCTGTCAGATAGAATATCTAGCAAGACGGGAGTTGCCAAAGGTAATATCTTGGGTCATCTGTTTTTTATTATGTTTCTTAACGACCTTACCAGCGTGGAAATACTATTAGCATTCACTTAATCAATTATCCAGATATTACCAACTCACTTATAACAGAGAAAACTGTTGATAAAATGATAGCAATCAATAAATCATATATGGTGAATTGTGAGAAATGGTTCAATCCTAAACATGCGACTCAAAGTATTGTTTTCAAGATAAATGAAAATACGCATTCTTCGCCCAAAGATATAGCATAAGGAGACATTGAAGTACGCATTACTGACGAGCGTAATGTTAAGTTAAATTATCTTCTGAACTATCCTTCAAACTATCTCAACAAAAGTGTTCTTGCAAACCTTCAAAACAACTACAGAACAGATGACATTGTTGAAAATAAATTTGTCCTGTCATAATACACCCTTTCTAGGGTAGTGAAGAAATGGAGTGAAAAAATGTTTTTACCAAAAAATAATTTTACTCCATTTCATTTGTAACAGAAAATGAAACACAATTTTCATTTAGGTGATGTATATGTACTACCTTCTGGGACACCGACTCATGGAACTACCTATTTCCGTTGACAGAAAGGCAACCATTGCTGAAAATACCTATTTATTGACCCTGGATGGGGACATCGATTTTCAACCGTCTGCCGTATTGCTGCTCATAGATTTGATGAAGAAAAATAAAAACCTAGGTATTTATTTTTAATAACAATTTTATATTTCAATTTCCAACTGATAATTTTTTTCCTAGGGGCTGCTTGTGGCCGTATCCACCCAGTGGGATCAGGTCCTATGGTATGGTACCAACTTTTCGAATATGCAATTGGTCATTGGCTGCAAAAAGCTACTGAACACGTTATTGGCTGTGTGCTTTGTAGCCCAGGTTGTTTTTCTCTCTTCAGAGGAAAATCACTGATGGACGACAATGTAATGAAAAAATATACCACAAGGTAAAGTAAAGACACCGGTTTGATAAAATCATAGTAATTATTAACGATTCAGTTTTTTTCACGTTCAGTCGCGTATGATTACAAGGTATTCACTGTACATAAAAACACGTACTCGTTTACTCACTCGATGTTTGTCGCCATCTTCAGAGCTACTATAAAATAGATATTTATCAAACACTAATTTGTTGTACATTTCCAGAAAAACTATTGACGACGTGGTTCTCCGTTTGTACTCACGATGTCAACGACATCGTCGATAGTTTTTCTGGAAATGTACAACAAATCATGGTTTAATAGTTATGAATAGAATAGTTATAATAGAAAGAAAGGAATCAATTAATTTCAAAATGATCTGTTTACAAAAACGTGTAGATCAAGCAACTGGAAGAAAAATCCCTACTGAAACAACAACTTTCATATAAACATCGAATTACACGAAAGAAAAATTCTTTCGAAACAACTATTTTTTTATGAACAATGAATTATACAAAAAACACTTTCTCCTATTCAGTTTGTACTCCAACCATTCGTTGTGGAATGGAATCAGTATCATTAACTTTATTGCCTCTCAATGTATCATATGAAAGAGATAAAATTTACTTACAAGGAACACTTACAGGGGTATATATCCTTTTCAATTCAAATATTAGTATCGTACAATCACATCAATATCAATAACAGGAACAATTTTCATAATCCCCATTATATTACGAAATACATACATTTTCATTTGATATATTTTTGGTATTTCTTATTCAGAATCATATTCTTGAATAAAGAGATCTTTATCGAGTTAGATATTTTGATATACACAAATATTCATAATTTACAAAAGTAAATTACTAAAAATCAATATTAGAGTAGGAAATGAATAATAATCATATAATCACTCCAAATAACAATTTTTAAAAATAATAAAAGAAATCACACACACAAAAATGAACATTTTATTATGAAAAAAAATGTATAAGTGAAGTCCTATTTTTAACAACACTGGACAGGTTATTATATTCGCGAAAACCTTTGAAGAAAAGTGAATTTTGGGTATAATCGTTAATAGTTGTTTTTGATATGTAATAGATTCTTGAACATGGGTTTGATGGAGCCAGTTGATTCAGTATTTTATAGTTGTGAATTATTGTACGATAGTAAAAGCGTTTGAAAACTGGTAACCACTGCAAAGAATACTACATGAAGTTGATGAAAGTGTAGCGATTCATTTGTAAAAGTATTCTCATACTCATGATTTTGTAGTTTTTCTAGTTAATTTATTTCATTTGCAATGAAAAGAAATAAAACCGATGAGCAATAATCAAAATAAGGTTAAATAATTGTCTTGAATACAGTAATTCAAGATTTTGAGATTTTCACGAAAAAAAAGTATAACTTCTTTGTTATTTTTTGATGAATATTTCTCTGAAATATTTAACATTTTGAACTTTAACGATTTTTTCACTAGTTATAGTTAAAGTAATGATTTCAATATCGGGTAAGTTATACGTAAATTTATTGGAAAATATCATTGCTTTGGTTTTGGACACATTTAGTTCCAGTTTATTGGGCACGCTTCTTAACACTCTTTATTACATCGTTCCTTGCTAGCATAGTTGATGAACTCATAGTCGATGAATTGTTCAACATTTACCAACAGGAATTTTATCTTGTATGTATGTATTGTTCAAAATATGTAAACATATCAGTATCGTTCAATTTCACTGTCTTAATAAATGTCATTTTATCAATACAATGGGCTAAAGCCAACCACATAATTTTTACAGTTCTGCCGAAGCGAAACACTACGTCCAATACGATCAAGGAGAAGATCGTTGGTTGTGCACATTGCTCCTCCAAAGAGGATACAGAGTGGAGTACTCAGCTGCTTCAGATGCCTACACCCACGCTCCAGAAGGTTTCAACGAATTTTTCAACCAGCGGCGTAGATGGGTACCATCAACTATTGCCAACATCATGGATCTACTTATGGCGTCCAAGAAAACCATCGAAGTCAACGACAACATCTCAATGCCTTATATTGGATACCAGATTCTTCTCATGGGCGGTACCATCTTAGGACCCGGTACTATATTCCTTATGTTGGTGGGGGCGTTTGTAGCGGCGTTTCAGATTGACAATTGGACTAGTTTTTATTATAACATTTACCCGATTTTGTTCTTCATGTTAGTTTGTTTCACTTGCAAATCAAATCTACAGGTGAGTAAAAATTTATTACTCATATTTATATCCACCAATTTCTTAAACATTAAAATTGCTGAATAAGTTAAACGGAGCTGGAGTAATGGCATCAGAATAAATTTTGAAATTCTTGTTTGTATAACAATAATATGCGTTCATTTTCTTAAGAAAAATGTTTCAGCTTTAATAATTTGGGTGTCATTTTTGATAGCAAATTAACTTTCAGTGAACATATTGAGTCTAGTTGAGGCTGCAGTGTTCAACGCAAGTGTCCTGAGTATATGTTCTTTCAGGATAATAGCCACTAACACAGTAGGGAAAATGACATGAATGAACTTTCAGATACTTTTAATCACCAACTACTAAAACAGAGACGTGATTTCTTGGCCCTAACTATTCTGTACACTATAATTAACAGAAGACTAGATTGTCTAAATCAATTTTCATGTACCAAGGTTAGTTTTGCGGCAAGAAATTTCGTTTCTTATAACATATTCTCGAATTAATTTGCTACTCATGTTTCACTTCTTGTGATATAAACAATGATAATCTCAACATTATTTCGACTCTTTATTAGCAGAATCAGAATTAATTATTTCTATTTCAGATTTATACTTAAACTCCTAATTGAACTATTACTACTTTAAGTAATCATTCAATTTCCTTGTTGCGAAATATAAGTACCCTTCCTCCAAAATATACAGTTTTTTCTAAAAATTATTTTTACGTTATATCATGTTTTGTCTGATTTGTTTTGTTTCCTAACTTTTTCAGTTACTGGCCGCCCAAATTCTATCCACTGGCTATGCCTTGATCATGATGGCTGTGATTGTTGGTACAGCACTTCAGTTACGTGAGGACGGTGTTGGCTCTCCATCGGCCATTTTCTTAATAGCTATGACTGGATCTTTCTTCATTGCTGCTTGTTTGCATCCACAAGAATTTTGGTGTATCGTACCAGGCATTATTTATCTGTTATCCATACCTTCTATGTACTTGCTGTTAATTCTATATTCGATTATTAATCTAAACAATGTATCCTGGGGTACAAGAGAAGTCGCAGTCAAAAAAACGAAAAAGGTTAGTTTTGAATTCAAATGTGGTGGAATTAGCGTGTTTCAATGAAGGTATTCAGATTCTCTTCATCTTTTAACTTTCAATAATAACAATACCTACATTTTTTAGGAAATTTACAGATGGTTCTTTTCGGTGCAAAAAGGAAAAGAGAGGTCCGTTCAAATAAAACGTCCTCTAACGGCTATTGAACTACAAAATAATTCTAACATATATCTGCTTCACATATAGTGAAGGGGAATACTTGAAGACTGGCTGTAAAATAAATTATTTAAAAAAACAATTCGTTCAGGCCAGTCTCAACTCACCTAGAGTCTAGGTAAATTGGAGACTACCTTGCACTGACGAGTGGTCAATTAGCCTGAAACTGGTACTCCAATAATTGAAAATCGATTTCGGCAATTGTATCGCCAACAGCAAATGCAGGAATTATTCCTGTGAAGAATCATGCAGTGAAACCTGTCGGATATAATCCAACGTCCTTCGTGCTATTAGCATAGGGAGTAGTTGTTTTCTGTGTCAGTCCACTAATTCACACAGACTGTCCTAAACAAATTGTTTTTTTAGATAATTTGATATATATTTTCTTCGGAAAATTTCAACACAACCATATTTTCATAAAGTATTCATTTAAAATCTGTAACAATCTGAATTCAACCAGACCAGATTCACTCATCTTCAAGTACTTTTCATTGAACTGATGAAATTTTTAAGACAAAATCTTATTATTATTATTTTATTTCAAATATTAAGATGTTTCGAAAGTTTTGACTGAAGATATGTAACTGCTAGAGAACAACTAGCGGTGAGGGAAGAATGTGGCCATCTACTATTTGTGTTCATTTGTTTTGTTTTGTAAGCTAGAGTTCCTTCTTGACTAAAACTCAGTTGATCAATTCTTCTGAAAGAATAACATTGGTGACCCAGACGTGATCACGATATGGAGCAGCGTAAATCCCAAAGACTTGGTGCCGGTTTGAATAGAAGCCTATCGATGAATTTTGTTTGTCAAATCGTTAACAAATCCCAAAAACTTTAAATGGTCAGTTCGAGAAAACAGTCGTGAAAGAGCCAACTTCCTTGAGACATGACCAAAAATCGGAAGTATGCTCAAAAATTTCTAGAAAGCATGAACGTTCCTGTGAAAGTTCTATAGATTTGGAAATGAAGAGAAATGCTACAGAAATAGAAAAACAACAAAAAAATCTGAAATTGAAAGAGAAAGACATAGAAAATAGTCTACATTACGCATTAGACAAAGACGAAACGGATTGGTTTAAGTTTGACGATAGTCGTGTCACTAAGTGTACTGGCGATGTCTTGAATTTATTGGAGCCTCTGGAGACACCTTACAGTTTGTTTTATAAAAAAGAAGACATTGGCAAATCAAGATCTTCAAATGATGTGGTGCTGCAGGTTTTTCCGGTTTTCCTGCAGCTGAAAAAGGGAATACGCCACTGGAATCAATGAAGTCACCCGGAGCGCCAATTAATTTTTGTTGTTGTTTCATTATTTCATGACTTGTATTACTTTCTTCTTTAATGTTTACATTTACTTCAGATGCAAGAAGCATCACATAAAGCTTCAGTCTGAAACATTTAGTTTAGCTTCAAGAGAAGACTCGGTAAATGAACATTAACACAGAGTGCTGTAGCCCAATGAGTTGAAAATATATCTATCCACCGAGAGCAAGTACCTGAAATGGTAGAAAGAGTACGAAAAAGTGACGAGAAAAATACATGTAGCAATGACATTAAAAAACTTTTTGAAACGATTACAAATGTACTCAAATCAGTTTCATTACCAGTCCCAGTGGTTTCGAATCAATCCTTGAATGCACAAGTTGCCTGAGAACCCGATAAATTCCAAATGCGGAAGATACTGGTGAACGATTTCCCGCATTTTGATTGAAATCCTCAAGATTGGTCCTTGTTTTATAAGTCGTTCAAAAACCTTCGCGAACCTTGTGATTATAGCAACGAAGAAATTATGTTGAAATTGCAAAGATATCTCAAAGGAGAGGCTAAATCCACAGTTGCTGGATTATTTTTAACGGTTAAAAACGTGGAAAATGTCATTTCTACTTTGGAAAACCGATTTGGCAGACCTGAATATATAATTGACACAGTAATTTATGAAATACGAAAAAATCCTTTCATCAAAGACGGCAGTTTGGAAAAATGTATTCACTTTTCATCTGAAGAGAACAATATGGTGTCTATAATGAAGAGTTTGGATAATAAAAGTCACCTAGAAAATCTTCAAATGATAAGAGAGTTGCTTAAAAAAATTTCAGAAATTATGAAGCTTTTATGGTAAAAAAATCAAAGGCAAAAAAGGTAACGTAAATCTTGAAGAATTTAGTACATAGTTGAAAGAAAAGGCAAGTTCTGCATGTTATGTTAGTACCCCTCGTTTGAATACTGAATTTCGTTAATCAAAATTCACCAACTTTAAGAAAAATGAAAGGCTTTTCAACACGACCGAAGTGAAATCCAAAATATGCAATTACTGTGATCAGTCCCAGCACCACGAAGGTACCTGCCATCAAATGCAATTGGATAGTTTTGAAAAAAGATGGGAAATTCATAATGAATATCATAATGAAGTGTCGGCCAATTCCATCACATACAATGTTTATCATTCAACTCCACCACTTCACCACTTGGTCTTCCATTCTGAGAAGTATCTTCAACAAATTTTTAATTCAGTATCGAAACTGGATTGGTCTGTTTACTGTTCTGTTTTTTGGTTTATTTTTTTTTTAAACAAACCACAAGCACTACAAGAAGATCCTTAAGGCGCTCTAAGACCGGTGCCTGTGCGAAAGTAGTGATTCTCATTGTATTTGAATCGCTGGATATTAAATCTGGAAAAACGTTCTCAGGAAGTTTATTTCACTCGAGCGTAGTGTGATTACTGTTCTCCTAGGTTCATTCTTGATTATTTTCATTTGTATTCCTTATCAATACTCCTAAATATTTTAAATTGAAAGGGTATATGTTTAGGAGAGATTAATTTTTGGGAAAGAAAGTTTATGGCCTTCTACTTCTCCACTTTGATACAGAAAATTTGGGAATCTTCCAAAGAAACGAAGGAATCAATTTCAAAAAATTAACTCTATACAAAGATGTGTAGATCATACAAAGAAGTAACTTTCAGACACAAACTGGAAGAAAAAGTCCTCTCGAAACAGCTATTTTTATATAAACATTGAATTACACGAAAGAAAAATACTTTCGAAACAATTACTTTTATATGAACGCTGAATTATAAGAAAAACACTTTTCTTTATTCCGTTTGTATTCCAAACATTCTTTGGAAGATTCTCATATTTTTTGTATCAAGATGGAGAAGTAGAAGGCCAAAAACATTCTTTCATAAATATTTTGTGGTTCTGAAAAGAACCGTTTTTTTTAAGAATGTATATCGTAGACCGGGCTTAATCTTTGAGACAAGCATATGAGAAACGATATTGTAAGAATTCTTTCATAAATATTTTGTTTTGTTTTTCCAAATAAATATTGTTTATCGTCAATTCACTATTCGATCTCTAATGGAATTTTTTAAACATTTCCAAAATACTGTTGTAATTAATCATTTTCTTCAGCATTCTCGGTTTCTTTCCAGATATCTACTTCATTTTAAAAGTATTCACCATCCACTTCTGTGATGTAATAATAATAAATAATTGACACTGTGCTAATATTTGTGATCAATTTTAAGGAAATTGAAGAGGAGAAAAAAGCAGCAGAAGCAGCCAAGAAACAAGCAAAATCAAAATCGCTACTCGGTTTCCTACAAAGTGGAGGTACCAATGACGATGACGAAGGCAGTATCGAAATATCCTTAGCGGGGCTCTTTAGATGTATGCTGTGTACACATCAAAAAGCTGGTGATGAAAAGGCACAACTTATGCACATTGCTGACTCTTTGGACAGCCTAGCCAAAAGGCTGGATCACATTGAAAAGTAAATTTTCGACTTCAGAAATGGTCCTTGTAATAATATATCTCAATTTCAGAGTTGTAGATCCTGCAGGTCACCATTCAAGAAAGAGGAGTATGTCGGCATCATCTCGACATGGTGGCGAACCCTTATTGAAAACTGTCAGCGAGGAGGAAGAACAGAGAGAATCGAGCGAATCAGATGACGATACTATTTCTGTGACACCAAGAAATAAGAGAGACGATTTGGTGAACCCCTATTGGATTGAGGATCCTGACGTTGGCAAGGGAGAAGTCGAATATTTGAATAGTAACGAGTTACAGTTCTGGAAAGATTTGTTAGCAAAATATCTATATCCTCTTGATGAAAATAAGGAAGAGAAGGTAATGTTTTCACTACAGCGGTTGAAAAATACATTTCATTTTTTTGCATTACAACTGAATAGCATTATAAAGAAAAACTTTACTCTAGGATTGACACCAGTATTATACAGTGTCATCCCCAAAGTATGCACCATATGGGAAAAAAAATGCAGTAAATCACACGTAATATACGAGGAGCCTTCATATATTTGATTTTGAGACAAGATTAAAGTACTCTTATTTTGAGAAATCACGGGAAATATTATTTATAAAAGTTATTCAGTATTGAAAAATACATCTAGATTTCAAGTCATGGTCATCTAAGTGAAGTTTTATTTTTTACCCATTTTTTTTTAAATATGGGGACTACGAAAATAAAAATTTGCAAAAACAATAAATAGACAGCATTCTGTATACGACGATTCATTTTGAAAGCCTGCAATATTACAAATTACACAACTATGGTGTTAACCACGGTCAATTTTTTTGAAGAAGTGTTTGGTGCAAAGTTATTTTTATTTTTTGTTAACACCGAAAATTACTCAAAATTATACAGTATTGTAACAAGAACTTAATATTCAATAATATCAAATCACAAAACATCAAAATAAAATAGGTATTGTGGAACAAACTCATTGATTTTCTGGGGATTATTTTGGACAAGAAAATCTCCAGAAAATCAATGAGTTTGGTCCGAAATACCTACTTTATTTTGATATTTTATGATTTGATATTATTGAATATTAAGTTCTTATCACAATACAGTATAATTTTGAGTAATTTTCCGTGTTAACAAAAAATAAAAATAACTTTGCACCGAAAACTTTGAAAACTATTTCACTCTTCAAAAAAATTGACCATGGTTAACAGCATAGTTGTGTAATTCGTGATATTACAGGCTTTCAAGATAAACCGTCGTATACAGAATGCTGTCTATTTATTGTTTTAGCAAAAATTTTTTTTCGTAGTCGCCATTTAAAAAATTGGTAAAAAAATAAAACTTCGCTTGGATGGCTATGACTTCAAATCTAGATGTATTTTTTTCATGCTGAACAACTCTTTTGAATAACATTTTCCGAAATTTTTCAAAATAAGACTACTTTACTCTTGTCTCAAAATCAAATATTTGAAGGCTCCTCGTATATTACGTGTGTTTTACTGTATTTTTTGGTGCATGTTTAGTTTTAGGGAATGCAAAAACTTTTATCAGGAATAACATTTCGTCGAAAAACATTTAAAAAATAAGTGCATACTTTGGGGATGACACTGTAATTATTTCCAAGTCAGGCATTTTTTTTTCATTCGAGTAATCTAAGAATATTAGAAAACTGCCTTCATAGTTGATTTCTAGTTCGCAAAAATAAATATATATTCACAATAACTTGAATAGTGAGACCCCTTTTCAAACATTATGAGAAAGTGGGTCCTCCTATGAATGGCAACCTTTGAAAGTCGAGACTTGTACGAGCAATCATTACATTATCATCATCAGTTTAAAAACTTGATAGGGAGATTTTCACTTTAACAGATTTTACAAAAACAACACGTATTTCTCTATACAAATGCTTTCTCAAGCAGGGATGATGAGGTGCAGCCATTGTACAACTCATCTCTATCTACCTACTCTATCTACCACCTAAGTCCAATCAGATAATTAATTCTACGTTAGAAAACCACCTGAAAAAATGGATAAATCCCCTACGAGGACCTAATGAATTGTGAATGTTCCGTTCTTTAGGATGGTTTTCTTGCCTCGAATTTATTTTACGATTTGACCTTAGGTCGTAAGTGACATTGTTAAATGTAGTTACCAGGGCCTGAATTTTCTTGTGAAGAACAATCCACTTTAAGATTGACAGACCATTGTAGATCTACTGAGGACGTGATCGACGGTAAGTCTGCGTCTACCTTGGACAGGTGGGTAAGCAACACAAATACGTGGCTTGGAAGGAAGCCAGACGGCGATGTGCAGCTCTCAAATAATACCTGTAGAGTGTAGATCATCTTCTGTAAAATATTCTGCGGCAGCCATAATGACATACTGAAGAGATTGAAATTGATTGGTCGTAATTGAAGTTGTATGTTAAGCAACCTTCCCATAAGAGAGCATACGTAAGTCATACCTGACGATACATTAGATTCAGCCATGCAGGACTCTTACAGTTTGGGTGAGTCATCATATGAGCATAGGCGTTTGTTGACCTGCTCAGTAGAGTGGGTAGATAGAGATAAAGTATAAAATGGGTTTAACTTGAGAATAATTCGTAACTCCTGTTTGAGGAAGCTATTATACAACGAAGCGCGCTAAAGAATTTTTTTTCAGTAAATGGTATTATTGAGATTCCAAATAAATTTTCATCAAGTATCGGCCAGTTCCATTCGACATTATCAGTATGTTTTGCGAGGTTTGGTGATCCAAATAATATTTTCAAATGCTGTAGGGAAAGGAATCACAACTTTTTTCGTAGATGAGCAATTTAGTTTTTGCCAACGTTTCGGACTTTATTGAATACATCATCGGAGCTTTAACATTAGTGTATCCATTCTAAAAAAACGGTAAAAAAATAGAAGTTTATATATTTATTAATTTTTTTTAATGTGTCTGTGGTTGTATGAGTTTCATATAATTAGTCGTTATTTTCCTTTGATTGCGTACCTATGTTGTCTGTTACATATATTTTTAACGTTTTTCAACATGAATAAACTAATTTTTGAGCCCTGATGATGGATTCAATGAAGTCCGACACGTTGGCAAAAATTATTCATCTACGAAATTTTTTTAACCATTTCCCAACTAATAAAAACACAGCATTTGAAAATTATCAGTATGTTCAGTTCTTTTCATTTTCATTCATGTTTTTCTTCGGGAAAACGTTTTTTTACACGTGTTTGAAAAATTATAAATGCTTATGGCATAATGAGAATGTAAAAGCGGCAGTCTACTCCGAAAACTTGCTGCTTTACATGTCTTCATGATGATTATAATAATCATTGCATTTCATTAGTTCGGACTTCCATTCATTGTCTAATATGATATAAAATGATTTGAAATCCCTGAAAGAATCATTATAATTGAAAAGATTAGCTGAAAAGTTACTTCACTGAAGAAAACTCCAAAAATTTGATTTATTCAACTTGCTACTCGAATTGTGACTATAATTACATATACTGAAAGAAGATTCAAATATGTTTTTGGAGGCTGTCGAATTATATTGATTGTGTTTTAATTTTGTATTCATATTGTTCCAGAAGAAGTATGATCATTTATAACTTTTTGAAGTATTTAGAACAACTAAATATTTGAACTAAAACTTCAACACAATCGTGTGAAGAAATCAAAATATTTCATATTGACGAAAATGTATATCATATCTAATACTGGCTCAATAAAATTGGTGTAATATGTATCAATCTTTTTGAATATTTTACTAAACATTATTCTGCAAAAATTATAGGCCCGTATAGCTGCAGATCTCAAGGAATTGCGTGACCAATCAGTCTTTGCTTTCTTTATGATGAATGCCCTCTTCGTTTTAATAGTATTCTTGCTGACATTGAAAAAAGACAACCTCCACATAAAGTGGCCCTTTGGAGTTCGAACTAACATTACCTACGACGAGAGTACACAAGAGGTAACTTTAATGGGATTGCATGGTATTTTTGTCGGTATATTTATCTAAACAATATGTGTCAACTTCGTTTTCATTTGCTAGGAATGTGTATGTGCTGACAAGGAACCATGTAGCCCACAAATACAACTGATCTAATCCCTACTGAATTTCTTTACAGGATAGGATAGCGAAAGATTTGATTGAACTGCGGAACAAGTCGGTTTTCGCTTTCATCATGTTTAATGCTTTGTTCGTCTTAGTGGTATTTCTTCTTCAACTCAATAAGGATCAGATCCACGTTAAGTGGCCGTTAGGAGTTAGAACTAATATTACATATATTGAGGAGACTTCCGAGGTATTTAAAGGCTTACTTGAGTCTTCTGAGATGGATTCTGGATACTAATGAGTCTTTGGCGTAGGATTTAACTCCTGTAATATGTTGTGTTAACTATAACTCTGACCCATTCATAGTTTTATTTTTGTCGGGCGAGAACCTGGAACAGAAATAAACTGTAAAAAAACAAGAGTCCGCAAAGAGAGCTTGAAATATATTATGAAGTTTCTCGCAAAGAATTTCACACTCTGCTGATTTTTCAAAGAAGTTTTGTAAATCTCATGGTAAACAAGTCTTGAGTGTTACAATTCTTAGAATTCTAGGAAGATTTGACGATGGTTAATTAACCCTACATAAACTTTGAGTGTGGGTCACTGTTATTGATACATGTCTACTTACTGGATCTTCAATACACTTTCTTGTGATTAATACACCTTTTCGGAGCAAGTTTTGTTGCGTTATATAACAACAAATCATCACGTAATAAATGGGTACAAGGTTTTTCCGGACACCTAAATCACATCACACATTTACCCTCAATTTTCACTATAATAATGGTGTTGAGTTAATACTATAAGAAGCACTATGTACATTTCCACCTGTGGAGGAATATAATCTATTAACAATTCATACTGACCATAAAAACTGACCATATCGCTGAACATTTACCTACCTACCTGTTATTTAATACTCATCCTTACATCCATTATTCCATTATTAACCTCATATCCATCATTTGCCAATGTCACTATTTTTTATATATAAATTAGAAAAAATAACTTGCCAAATATGAGTTTGAGTAGTGATTAGAACATTTTTTAAAAGTGGAAACAATTTTTGGAGTAGGTAATCAAATTACAAATGAATTGAGACTTTTCAAATTTTGCCTCAGTTCATCAAACTACTTTTATATATGATCAGATTCTGTTATTTACTTGTCTTTCTGCAAGAAAATAATCTCAAAATCTATTGATTTTAGCCAAGACTATATGTCTTCAAATTATGAAACATATTCATTATTAATTATCAAATATCACAAAAAACAAGATGTTTCTTTTTCATTTCATTTTCATAACAAAAATCATTCATTCAAACATATTCAAAATCATTTAACATCTAGTTTTTTTCATTTTAATATTTTTTTGTTATCATGAACATTTCAAAATATATTCACCTTCATCATTATATCAATATCATTTATTATTCAACTACCGCGAGATCATGTGCCCAATACCCAGAAATGCTCACAAATCAATATTTCAGATATGTCGTCCTTGATGGTATTCCTGGATATTCGTCAACAGATAATCCATTTTTGTGTTCTTCTACTCCATTCTTTGTGAATAATTACAATTTGAGTTGTGTTTAATATTAAATATGGTCATTTATGTTGGTAATATTTATAACTAAAAATCAACCATTTTCTCATTTTGCAGTTTACGATTATATACTTTAATTTAAAATGGGTGATTTTTAGTAAATTTTGAATGCATGATACCTACTATTTGCATGGTGAGAATTGGAATGGTTTCATAAAAAATAATTACTCAAATAAATATAATAATGAATTGTTCATAATACTTAAGTGATGAAGTAAATCTTTCAAAACTCACCCTAAAAATAGATGTACCTACTTTTTTGAATAATTGCTCACACAAACTAGTAAATTTTGATTATTGCAAACCAATAGTTTTTGTGTGAAAATTTTGAGAAAACCTGCTATTATGAAATTTGAACAGATGCAATAAATTGAAACGTATTCTAGGTTCATATCTCAAAGGAATACCTGCAGCTGGAACCTATTGGTTTAGTATTTGTATTCTTCTTCGCACTCATCTTGGTCATCCAGTTTGTTGCTATGTTGTTCCATCGATTTGGAACCATAGCTCACATCTTGGCCTCGACTGAGCTCAACTGGTCATGCACTAAAAAGGTATGAAGGTTCATATACTTGTCGAATGAAAAAACAACAAAACATTCGTTATCTTTTTAGAAAGAGGAAATGTCTCCCAATGCGCTGTTAGATAAGCAGGCAGTGGAGATTGTCAAGCAGTTGCAGAGGCTGCAAGGCATTGATGGTGACTACGATAATGATTCAGGATCTGGTCCAGATAGAATTGGAAGGAGAAAAACAATACACAATCTGGAAAAAGCAGCCCAGAAGAAGAGACAAATCGGAACTTTGGATGTGGCGTTTAAAAAGAGATTTGCAAAGCTCAATGCCAATCCTGAAGGAGGTAGATTATAAAAATTATTTTTGATTTTCGTAAATCCAAAATAAGAGAACATACTGAAAATCGATATGTTGAGAAATTTAAATTAGATAGATAACAACCCTTCATCCATATTTCAAATAGGGTAAATAAATGGCAAGCAGATTACTAAGAAAACAATGTAAATGAATGTACATACATTTCTTAAGTACCTAAACTCTTACTCATTCTAAAGCATTGTTATAATACATACACTCCATATTAAAACAACCTTTATGGAACATAAAAGTGTCATGGTTGTTAGACCAGATGTGTATTTTATTAATTCTGAATTCATCATTTGCTAAACATCCCTCTATTTTTTAATTGTAACGCACTATCTGATATAAGTATATAGACAAAGTTTAGGGTCAACATTTAGTCGAATTTCAAATAATTTATACATCTCGAATGCCTATTATAATTTACAAGCCCTTTCAGATCGCCACATATTTCCCATGAGAGTAAAAAAAACCATCACGAAAACCAACAAAAGTAACTAATCTTTTCACAACTGAGTCATAAACCCAGGGCATCATAGCATATTTTATCCATCAGGCAGAGTAAAATTTTCCAAATATATTCAAACTACAATGTTGAGAATCCACTTTTGAGGCAAATATATTTCATACGATTCAACACAGTGAAGATCTATTCACAAACCAAACTGTTTGGTGGCTGAGGTAAAGGTAACAATAACTTTATAAAACACTACTTCATTACTGCGCTCCACTGACTCGGATGATTTGATTATAATGCGTGTGATTTTTCCATTATTGACTCATATGATCAAGATGATATTAACACAAAAGTTTCTTATTTTGTGAACTTGCTGCTGGATTTATTTGACAGGCATGCACCTATTATAAGATCGAAAATAACGAAAAATAGGGGTCCTTGGTTAACTTATAATTTAAAAGAAATGATGAAAACTCCAGATAATGCTCTAAATAAATTCGAACGAACACACTCTGAAGTACACCTTCAACTTTACAAAGATAATTATATAGGGTGATCCATATTGATGTGATGACATAATCGATAATTTTTTTAAATGCAACACCCTGTATTTGGTGTCAATTTTGAGATGATCCGTAACGAGCTGATTCCGAAAAGGTATGATACTTGGGGTCTAACGGACAGAATTTGAAAGATGTGCTCTTAGAAAATAAATTTTATTGAAGTCTAATAAAAGTAGAAATTAATTAATTATTTTATATTTTTTTCTAATGATTGACTTAACAATGGGAAAGTAATCCAGTAATAACTACATAACTTTATTTTAAATGTTCGAACTGTTAGGTTAGGTTAGGTCCAAAGTGAGTGGGTCTATTCGAACTGTAGTCCTTGCTGTATTTGACAGTACATAAACGTTGAATGAATTCTTGTTGAACCTTGTTTATGGTGTCTTGAGAAATATTGTTTATTTCTGTTCGAATTCTCTTTTATTATTCTTGAATATTTGCTGGTTTCGTTATATAAACAACATTCTTCGGATGACCCCACATAAAGTAATCCAATGGATTTAAGTCTGGCGACCTCGCTGGCCATTCAATATGTCCACGTCTACCAATCCATCAGTTCCTAAACATTTGGTCGAGATACCTTCGAACATCTGCAGTATAATGTGGAGGCGCACCATCCTGTTGAAACTATAAACTTTCATCAAAACTTCCAGGATTAATTCTACTGAGGAATAAATTAATTAAAGTAGGTACAAGATAACCCCTTAAAAACTGAAGGTATGTTGGCCCGTCTAAAGTACCGTCGAAAAAATAGGGTTCGATGATCCTGTTTCTTACAATGAGAGCCCATACATTTACATTTTGCGGGTATTGTGTATGATGCCCACGCATCCAGTGGGGGTTTTCTTTGGCCCAGTACCTACAATTCTGACGATTGACCCCACCATTTAATGTGAATGTGGCTTCATCAGAAAAAATTATATTTTTTACGAGGAGACGGTCTCGGTGACAGTTATCCATCATGGCTTCACAAAATTCTATATTCTGGATATTTTTCATTAAATAAGTTACACACTTCCATCTGAGTTCGCGATCTGTCTCCATAGCCAATCATCATAAGTATTTCAATGCTTTGCTTTACACTTAAATTCATTATAATTCGAAGTAATACTACAAAAAATTTACGAATTAATACAACAACTACTGTCCTATTTAACAGTTACTGAAAGTCAATCGAAATAATAACATTTCACAATAACAAAAAAAACTAGCCGCCTAGTTTTTTTAAATTAATAAGAAATACTTGTTAGCACGGTTACTGTCAAGTACAGCAAAGACTACAGTTCGAACATTTAAAATAAAGTCATGTATTCATTACTGGATTACTTTTCCATTGTTAAATTAATCATTAGAAAGTATATAAAATAATTAAAAAATTTCTACTTTTATTAGATATCAATAAAATTTATTTTCTATGCGCATATCTTTCAAATTCTGTCCGTTAGACCCCAAGTATTATACCTTTTCGGAATCGGCTCGTTATGGATTATCTAAAACTGACACCAAATACGGGGTGTTGCATTTAAAAAAATTACCGATTATGTCATCACATCAATATGGATCACCCTATAGAATATCAAAATTAAAAATCGACGTGTTTCAGGTAGTTGTAAAACGACCTTTGGTTTTGGAAATATCGAATTTATTCCATACTTTGCGGACACACACTATAAATAAGGCGGTGAGACGGAAAAAAAGGCGTATTTTGTTCAACAATTTAATGGGGTTCATATAAAAGAAATATGGAAAATTATAAAAAAATGCATTGTTGCCTAATAAATCCAATGACTTACCTGAAAATCTACAAGATGCTGATATAATTAATGATTACTTGATAAATTCAATTCCATCATGCAACCCTTTCCCTGATCTTTTGAATTTTTATAGTACCAACTGCCTGACCAACTCAAAACTTACATTTGAGGAAGTTAATTACCTTTTTGTGTCTGAAACTATTCGAAGTATCAAAACCAATGCTGCTGGGTGCGACAATCTCAATATGACGATGATAAAACTCTGCTGTCCTCACATTATTCCATACATTACACATGATAATAATAATAATATTTATTTATCCTTTGAGACGTTAACAACGTATAGGACATGTCAGTACAACACGTTAAAATAGTATAAAGAAAATAAACATACATTAAGATAAAATATCTCAGTAGTTTTAAAGTATAAAAATGTATAAAATATAAAGAAAAAAAAACAAGATTAGTCAAAATTAGATGTAAAATAAAATAATAAAATCAGGATGAAAGTCTGGACCGCAATCAGCTAAAGTCGTCTAAAAGGAATTCACTGACACTGTAATAAGCCTTAGACAGGAGCAAATTTTTAACTTCTCTTTTAAATGACATCAAACTCATGGTTTTAAAGTGATCAGTAGGTGATTGAATAATTTTATTCCCATATATTTGGGTGACTGTTCAAATTTAGAGGATCTGTGTCTAGGAATACTTAACAATTTTCCATTTCTAGTTGAGTAACTGTGGTAAGAAGAATTTGTGTTATATTTTGTTAAATTATCGTGGATGTATAGTAAGCATTTAAATATGTAAATACAAGGGAATGGCAGGATTTGATATGATATGAAGTGCTGTTTGCACGATTCTCTCCATGGGATATCAAATAATTTTCTGATAATTTTTTTTTGGGAAATAAAAACCCTATCTTTGTTGGTGGCATATCCCCAAAGAACCACATTGTAGCTTAAATGGCTGTAGACCAAGCTATAATATACGTCCAGCAAGGCATGCAAGGGCATAAAATGTTTTATTCTGGAGAGAGCATAGTACGCTTGGTTAACTTTTTTACAAGTGACTGTAATGTGTTCAGACCATCTTGAGCAATCATCCACATAGACACCTAGAAATTTTGTAAAATTCGTTGATACCAATTCCACCCCTCTAATATCAAAGACAGTAGGCTGTTTATCAAGACCGATGGATGTTGTTAATTGCTGTCTATCAGGAAATATTACACCAGATGCCTGTAAAGGAGCAGTTGTGAGAGTTGTACCAAAAAAAGCCTAATCCAGTGGAATATAAGGATCTGAGAGGATTGAGTAGTCTTCCAGCTCTATCAAAGATACTGAAACGAGCAATGGATACACAGTTACGGAATCATCTGAGTAAATACTCACTGTTACCAGTAACTCAATCTGGATTCAGGAAGGGATACAGCTGCACAACTGTTCTTCTACATGTCGTAGATGATGTATTTAGGGCTAAAAAGATCGAGGTTCATGTACGGCACTGGTATTGCTAGACTTTAGTAGGGCTTTTGATAACATAAACCATGACTTATTACTATTTATTCTCCATCACTTAGGGCTTTCAGATAGAGCGATATCACTATTGCGTGAATATCTCAGTGAAAGGCAACGGAAAGTCAACATCAATAGCAACTGCTCTCAATACCTCAATTTGGAATCTGGAGTTCCCCAGGGATTCACACTGGGCCCTTTACTGTTTATAATGTACACCGCGAGCATTCTGAAATGTCTTGAATTTTGTTCTGCATATTTGTATGCGGATGATATCCAGCTTTATTATGATTTTCCATCGTCTAATGTAATTGATGCTGGTATGAAAGTAAATACTGATCTGAAATCATTCGTAAAAGCCGCTTACACCAAGAAATTATCGTAGTATTGTATAGGATATGAACATCATGATCAATAGTAAAAACCTTGAAATAGTGAATGAAGGAAAAAGCCTTGGTGTCTTATCAGATTCAAATTCAAGATTTGAAAAACACAAACAAACTGATCCAAGGAGCATATTCTTCTATAAAAATAATACATGGAAACAGATATTTTCTTCCCATCTCAATAAAAATTAGTTTATGTGAAACCATGGTTCTTTCTTTATTCAATTATGCACATATTTTATATCACCCGAATCTAACCACAAACTATGAATACAAAATCCAGAAAGTACAAAACTCGTGTCTTCAGCTAATACAAGGAGTAAGAAGGCACCAAAGGATTTCACATAAATTAAAAGAAACAAGATGGTTGAGTATACAAAACAGAAGACATCTCCATAGTGCATGTATGTGTCATAAAATTATTACTGATAAAGCACCTCCACATCTTTATCATAACTTGAACATTAGGTTCAAGGGAACATTAACTCACCCTTTATTCAAAACCCAAATGTTGATGGGCTCATACAGCTACCAGATTACAAAAGTGTATAATAACATCCCTTCTGAATTGAAAAAATTGAGCCAAGGTCGTTTCAAATTGCATTTAAGACATTATTGTTCGAATCAGCACAATGACAGGTAAAATGTGGAATATGCTAATTACTACCAATGTATATGTGCAAATGTGCATGCATCCATAATTGAATTTGAATAAAATTAGGTACGGACTACAAACTCTGATAGTGAAGACAGCTTGAGATTAAGTGGTAGAACAAGTCATCAGTGATATGAATGAATTGAACTTTGCCTTTTATTTCCAGGTAAAAATTATGAGAAATATGTACTTTTTTTGAAATAATAAAGAGCATTATTATTATTATTATACAAAATAGGGCCTGGTATCGATCCTTGTAACACCCCTGCAATGACGATTTGCAGTCATAGTAACCATATCATAGTAATCATAGTAACCATTTTTATGTCTTGCTGTGATTGATTTGAATGAAGTGAACCAGTCCAGTAATATTTCCTCCACCTCCAGTTTTGTCACAAAACTTTATAAAACGTTTCTTGTCACAAAATCTTGGTACTGTTTGTGATGGACTAAAATATGTTGCAGCCTTTCAATTCTAAAAATAGACACAGTGCCTGAAAACTCAGTGGTTTCCATTATTTTTCATTTTACTCATTCAATTTTGCAGGATCTCCGGTTCTTAGTAGGCGCATGACGATGAGACGTGAAACGATGAAGGCTCTTGAGGTACGAATCAACTCGGTTATGGCAGAACGTAGGAAATCCCATATGCAAACCCTAGGAGCTAAGAACGAATTCAACACCAACAATAACGTCCAACGAAACCATCGGAACAGTGTAGCCAGCAGTATACCTGCGAAAGATGTTTTCGAAAACGGACATGTCAACAAGGCCTTCGAAGAAGAAATTTACGGAAGCCGAAATTCTTTGCCCATGCATTCTAGGTCTAATAATGTCACTTGGATGGGAACAAATAATCGACTGTGATTGAAACTGGAAAAATGCAAATGGATTTTCAAATAAATATTTTTCAGGAGATTTTCAAAAACAGAAACCTTATGAATCAGGAGTATGTGAAAAAAGTAAAAATAAAAAACATTTATTACATTTTCAATAGATACTTTCAATTATTGATATAATTAGAAAGCATTGATTGAATTTGTAACCCAAGAAGCAAAAATAATTGGCTAGTGATTTATTAGAACTAGTATAGCAATAATAGATTTTTACAATATTGAATATATGAACATTACCAATAAAAACTGTAATTGAAAGAAGGAGCCAATCAGATACCCAGTGATCACTACTTGATTTTTTTTAAATCATAGGTAACTGTAGGACTATCACTTTACATTAAATACTCTACAAAATACTCATTTTTTATATCTCAACCACTGCCTGTCTATGGTGAACATTATGGTTCTGTAAATACTCCATTTTATGCCAACATTTTTTATATAAGACTTAACTATTTGTCAGCTCAACTTTTTAGGAGTAAAGACATTTTTGTACTTTTTAGGTTTTTAAGACATATTTATATTTTTTACATTAAGATTATGTGATATACAATAGATAATTTGTATATAAATTGTATTTCATTTGAACAAGACCCATTCCTTATAAGTAAAATTCATTCATATCCTATTGGGTGAACGTCAACCTATCAAATCTTCAGTATAAAATTTGTATTTGAATTATGAATGGTTTGACCTGTTACTTGATGAAAATCAATAAGACTATCTATCTATGATAATAAAAAAACAAATTTCATAAACATTTTTTATTTCTAGACGCGTTTTGCTAACACCATAGCTTTCTTGGTAGAAAACACAAATAGTGATGGATGTTTTTTTGGAGACAAACCTCGGGAAACACATGTATTGTAATATATAGCTAAATTTATTGAAACAGTGGCAACAAAAATCGATGAAAAAAACTAGAAATCCGTATTTGAAAAAAAAAAAAGTTGAGGATGAAATCTAATGAAAGAAATGTCACATTGCAAAGTGGTTTATATCAGATTATAACAAATATGAAACAGTATTGAAAGTTTTTCTACCTTCTTTCGTATCATTGGAAATGGAGGTGGTACAGCCAAAAAATGAAATTCGACGATTTTAGTTTTTGCGAATATTTAAAAAAACACTGATATTCTCGATCTGAAAAGAGATTATTCTAAATCCCCAAACTAGGAATATATGTGTTTTTCACAACAATATTTTTCCGTGCTGGGAATCGAACGCTAAAACGTAAGATCTCGTTAATTCTCAGCACAGGTTTAGACTTTTAAGGGTTTTCGTTCGTAGGAGGGCGACAGCTGAAGTTAACGGAAAAACTGATTTTAACATACTTTTTACAAAAAAAAATTATTGTCACCTATGTGTTAACGTATACATAATAATTTCAACTCTCTGTTTTTATCTTTACTCATGAGCTAAGCTTCGAGACGAGAATATGTTTATTAAAGCATCAGTCAGTCATACGTATCCAATAATTTTAGTTCATTTTCAGAATCTACTCCGAGCAGTGGATTTCTATAAATTCAATAAAAAACACTGTCAACTGAACAATATGTATTTTTTAATACTGTTTTAGACTGCAAGCTCATGCTAAATTTTTTGGGGTATCATATGACACTATATAGTAATGATGGCCTCATACCACCAGTTGTTAGTGGTGTACGTGAAAATATGGGAAAATTGAAAGCAACAAATCAAGTAATTTGTCAAAAAATATTGTCCTTTACATACTACTTACGACTTGGATCTTTCTTAAACAAACGCCGTACAAACAAAAAAAAATGGGACAGGAAAATAGAACAAAAACATTTTTTTATTCGACCTCTATTTATATGCAAAAGTGATAAATTTCTTACAGGTTTCATAAAAGCAGTCCATCAAAAAAAGTGATTTATTCTGTGATGCTGAATAAATTAGTTGGTTCTTGGGGTGGAAAACATAAGATCAACCTCTATCCCACAATTGGGTCATTTATTGTTGTAGGCATCAATTTCAAAATATTATTCGATATGAAAAATCTTTGGATAATATTCATTAATATTGAAAATCAACTCTAGGAAAAGGTGAAATTGATTGAGGTTTTTTAATACCTTACTGCAATTCAACTTATTAATAATTTGAAGAGAGAACTATTGCAATTGTTATTATTAAAATTATAAAGTTTAAAAGGACTTCAATTTTTTAATACATTATTTTTTTAAATATCCCACTAATTTGTGTAAAATATATTTTTTAATTTATCGTCATGTCACTTTTTTCATGCATAAAAAAATAATAAAAAACATATGACGTACATCTTCTTATTTGAGATTTCAAATGGTCTTTTAGGTTGATGTTAATAGAATATTGTCAAATTTGTGCAAGTAATACAAATTTTTAAAACATCCAGAATCAACCTTCAATTCGATAAAATGAATTTTCTGAATTTTTTCAGCGAGCCCCATTTTTCATTTTTGCAATATAATAAATATTAGGACCCACTAAAAAATCATAGAGGAAATTAATGACATGCATTTTAATATGCTATCCTAGCCTCTATAAATTAAGTAATTTTTGTTACAGTGAAATATTACTATTGGGATTATTGTTGTTATTAAAGTTGAACAAATTCAATATATATAATTATATTTTTCGTAAGTTTTCAGATCCTAAAGAGAAAAGAAAACTGCTAAATAGTCTCTGAAAGACACTTTTTATGAATAAACCACTGTTTAAATGTTTTTCGGATGTATAACCTTCCACAATTTGAAAAATAAATAATATTAATAAAGGATATACATAGTGCTATTTGTAATTGAGGCATTGTTCACTAGTGATTTTTTGGGTTTTCAAAGTTTCTGACTAATTGGACTCTTCATTAGTTTATATTACGCAATAATTTTTTGAGAACTTCTCAGTTTGCCCTTTATTACACTTCTGATTGATTCGGCCGTTACTTGATGAAGATCCATAGTAATTCCACAAACGTCACCGGAAACGATTTGATCTTTACAAACTTCATTTAAAAAAATGTTTTGCCATCACAGTAGCTTTTTCGTAGTACTTTATTCACTACGAAAAAGCTACCGTGTTAGCGAAACATGTGATATTTTATAAAAATAAAGTTTGTGGAGATCAACCCGTAAAGTGTAATTTATGAAAAGAAAATTGCTAATTACATAGGATGGGTTTGCCTGATTTCCAAAATTTAAAAAATGTTTGTCACCCATTTCTATTGAAAAAAAATTGATAGCGCCTTCTTAGCAACAAGTTACGTCACTATTGTATTTTTCACCACGGAAAATGTGTATTCACTGCTCAAATATTAAACGATTGATATTCGAAGATAACGTGGTTGAAACTGATAAAATTCACAGAGATTATGTATGTGTATATGAAACTATTACCAAAGTTTAATAGAAATAAATTGTAAATCATTTTTCGGAATACCATCATTAATTTTTCACATTTTTTCTAAAGGCATAAAATATTTCATAATGTATTACTATACTAATGCCGTACAGTAACTTTTTATTGAAAAATGTCACTCTAGAGTGGTATTCAATTTTCTGTTTGATGTTATCTTCATCATCCAAAATTTAGGGCATGACGACAAAAGTCACTATTTTATGATGAAGTAATTGATGATGACGTTGAAATCACTATTATACGATGAAGTCATGAAATAACTAGGTTTTCTGAGGAATCTAATCGCGGTCCTCATATATGTTTAAGATAGAGGGCTATTACATTTACCACCCCATGCGCCAACTAATATTATGCGGCTTGACAAAATAAATGACCCTTGTTGATATAATGAACTAATTTTATTAAAGACCTACAGAAGTTTATCACATGCCCAATTTATGTAAGGTATTTGGTTAGGAATGATCCCAATCATAATCAGTGTCACAAAAGACTTTTTGACAAATTATCCTTCACTTGCATTGTTGTTATAATTTTTTCGAAACCTTTATGTGCAACACTTACAACTGAGAGATGAAACTCATTTTTTACTATGGCACTATAAAAATAATATATCTTCAAGAAATATCCAATGACTCCCAAACATTTTGTATAGACATGCAATCTATTACGTTCATATTTAAAACCATCAAAAAACTGTAATAACAACATATAAATCACGTTACATCTGGTTCCAGCTTCTATTTGTAATATTTCTGTGATTCGTTCTTCGTTCAAGGTGATTGAAGTTCACAATATAATGAAGAACCTCAGAATAAAGTATTGCTAATGATGCTGCAGACTGTGTATATCTCAATATTTTTCAAACATTATCATAATTTAGATTAGTCCAAACCAGACCTCTAAAACAGATTATTCATTATCCAACCTCGGACAGCATCATTTCAAGTTGAATGCATTGTTTGACTCAACTGTCTTTAAAGAACAAATCTGAATAAAAAAATGAAAATAACAGAAGACAGTTCATGAATACCAATAATAAATAAGCCCTCAGGAGGTTCGTTAATTTAGATTGGAAAAAATGATCAGTTTTTTTCACAGAATAAAATTCAAGACATTGTTGAACTTTTCTTCATATTGGAAATGCTTTTTGAAACAGTGCAATCAAGTTTGAATATATTTCATTGCAGATAACATATTATAATTTTTGGTCAGTTAAGCTGTTGGTTGAGAAACTGTTGTCTGAAAAACTCAACAAACCAAGAAAACTGATTTATTAAAAAATTAATAGACATACACTTATAATTACATAAAAAAGTATTTTTCACAATAAAAGTAATTTTCTCGAGTTACACTCTATTTTTTGTATATCATATCCTTGAATCCCTTATTATCAAGTATAACTGAATCTTCAGGAGAACAGTTCAATAACGCGATTTTGCCTTCCCCGTTTACAATTCCTTAGCATCATCCTCACAATTAGTTTCCTCCTTACATGATTTCAATGCACTAGTTTCTGACTTAGCTACGCTATTGAAATTGGAAGATTCTTCTAAGGAACCATTTTCAAGTACTTCCCCTATGACCACTGCATTATCTAGGGAAGTTACACTACCAACAATTTCTTGTTGAACAATCTGAGATTTCAAAACGTTGCCATGTTCATCAACATCCTGAATCGTTATCAATATGTTATTTTCTTCCACAGTTTCTGCAGGTTTGAGGGTCTGTTCATTAGTTTCTGATATTGACAGTACATATCCAGTTTTACCATTGTCATAATTCAATAGATACCGTACACCTTCGTTAACTTTATTCGTTGGCATGGACTCACTACGAATCACTTCTTGGGTTACTTCAAGACTTTCTAAACGAACAGTTTGTAAACGGTATATTCCATCTTGGTCCTTCCGATACCTTAAAAAAATTTTAGAATCATATCTTGGAAAAATTCTAATTTATCCTTACTATTTTTGACACTGCCCACCACAAGCTCTCAAAATAATAGTATTTCTTTACAGATAGATGCTGACAGAAAAATGGTGAAGTATCGTGTAGAAATTAGAATAAATAAATTAAGACAGATAATTTTTGAAAAAAGTTATGTAGATAATTTTTTTAAAAAGTTATGTAGATTAAAAAAAAAATTATCTAGTTATGTAATTTAAAGCATTAAACAATAGCCTGATGAAGCTATTGTACAGTGAAACAAATTGTAATTCATTTCAACATATTTGTTCATTGGTATAAATCGATTCTATTGAAAAATCGAAAACGTTGCACATTCAATCAACAGTCTGAATCCTTGTCCTTTCATCAAATTTAATGAACATGGGTGAACATATGACAATAAATAAAAAATTAATAATTACTTACTTGATTTTTGTGAAAAAAAGTTTTTAGCTTCCTACTCTACTCCATCTTGATACAACAAAATGTGGGAATCTTCCAAAGAAAGGAAGGAAGTAATCAATTTGAAAATAAGTCAACTCTATACATGGATGTATAGATAATGCAAAGGAGCAACTTTCAGACACAAACTGGAAGAAAGCCCTCCTGAAACAGCTACTTTCATTTAAACATTGAATTACACGAAAGAAAAAAAAAATCTTTCGAAACAAATACTTTTATATGAACACTGAATTATACAGAAGATACTTTTCTCTACTCAGTTTGTATTCCAAACATTCGTTATGGAATAAAATCAGGTATCATTCACAGGAGTTCTACTTTAAATGAATGGTAACAAATTGCACTTACATGGAACACTGTTTGTGTTTGTGTCTGAAAGTTGCTTCTTTGCATGATCTACACATCCATGTATAGAGTTACTTATTTTCAAATTGATCACTTCCTTCCTTACTTTCTTTGGAAGATTCCCATATTTTTTTGTATCAAGATGGAGTAGTAGAAAGCCAAAAACTTCATTTCCCAAAATAAAAAACAAATTTTTTTTTCAGAATTATAATAGTATCCCTAGTATTCACGCATATTACAAGATTTGAGGTGTATCAGAAAAAGTTAATATCGGAAAATAAATTTGGATTTCTACTTCTCATGATGAAAGGTAAAACTGAAACATCTAGCGTAGCATAAATCCAAAACAAGCACTTTTCCCAGTCACCAGAAATGCAATACTCTTCCCAACGCGCATTTCACCAACCAAGTTGGCGTTATCAGGAGACGAAGAAAACTTAGTTTTTTTTTTCAAATTACGTTTTGTAAATTAAAAAATGCCGATTATGTGTGATATATCAAAAGAATTATCACCAAAAAAAAGTTGCACCAGGTGATTCTTTTTTCTGGTCCTTACAATAAATTGAATTTGGTGACGGTTTCTCTGAATGAAACGCCGGATTAGAAATCTGTAAACGCCAACTTGTATGACTTGAAAAGTGGCAATGAAAATGTGTGAAGATGCCAGAAAAAAATTTAATCCTAATCATTGAGTGTCAGTACTTTTCAAATATCTTCGGAACCAACTGGAACACAGCATTGGCAACACCGCATTGGCAACACCGCAGTGGAAACACCGATTTGTTGCATGTGCCATTTACCGTGAATCAGCCTGTATATATTTTTTTTATATCAGTGAAATATTGATTCATGAAGAAAAGTGAAATTAAACTTTCTATATAAAAAATAAAAAGTTTAATTATCTTTTCTTCATTATGATTTCCTACCACGTAGTAACGGCTAAATCCATCAATTTAAATATTGATTTACACCTGTGGTGCCATATTGACAAAATAACACACTGTCTATGTAAAAAACCGCCATATGCAGATTTGCTCAATGAATTAGAAACTGTTACAAAGACTGTTCAATCAGGCAAGTATGGCATATCATCCCAATATACCAGTGGTTCAATGAATAGAACTCACCAACTCTTTTGCAAGTCTTATTATTGAGAATAAGATTGGTTCAGAAGTTATAACTATCACATAGAAAACATTTTTGTATTTTGAATAAAGTCATTTTTTCAAACCTAACTTATAATCAATACCCATAGAAATATACTGAGACAATGAGAGTATGAGATACTTACTGCATCATGTTTTTTAACATAGTGATTATCCAAGCCAACTTTGGTGCGACAACTAAAATTGCACATATCACATTTCATCGGGTCGCTATCCTCATGTATTTTCATGTGAGTATCTAAATTGTACTTCGCCACAAACCTACAAAAAATATAATAACAATTTTTGTTTATTGATGAATATTTTTTCACAGACTTAACAATTGACAAAATGAAATGCGAGGTTATGTTGGAAATAATAATAAAATAAAAAATATTAATGTTTATTGGTATCTCACCAAATGAAACTCAGATCTCAAATCACAAGACTATAAAAGTAACCAATGGTATTTTCAAATCACTTTTAATTTCAATTTGTAATTCAAAAAGTTCGATGAATGTATTTAAGGAAGTGCTGTATGAAAAAAGTATTTTACATATAAGGTGTCAAGAAAAGTTTATGCAAGAATGAATTCTAAAAAAATATTGCAAAATGAAAAGAGGAGTTTTCCTAGTAGTTATTGTTATTCTCAAGTCTGATGTCAGATTATTTTCATTCACAATAATTTTCTGGCATCCATTCCTATAACTTTAGCAATAATAGTAATTGTCTTCTGTCAGATACCAATCTATCATTTACAAATATTTGGCATGTGAATGCCACCAAAAACATTTTTATGTAAAATATTGCCAAGACTATTATTACTTTCGCTGTGAAAAAGTTTTCAGATCTCCTTAAGCTCCTTCAGTTAGAGCATTTAGTCACGCCTCCAATCTACAAACCCTACCTTATAGTTGATACACTCAAGTATCGAAATTGTAGCAAAAAAAATGCAGCTTTACAAGGTGTGATTGGATTTTTGTGAGACAAACGGTGCGAGCCTCTAGGACAAACACCATATTACTGAGTCGCCTGATATTCCTCTCCATATTTCAGCCAGTTGGAGTGAGCACTAGCTTGCTCTGTTAAGGCATAGGCTTTGTTCGTGACAAAGTATGTAACTGCCACCCTTTAAAAAAATGGTAGGCGTGTCAACGTAAATAAGAAACTCGGTAAATCCGCAACAGAGACAGGTACACGGATTTTTCAGTTGTATAAACTTTCAAAGAAAGGTGAGAAGACATTGAAGATGACCCAAACTCATTACATCCTTCGAAAACAGATGAGAACATTGAGAAAAAAATACAATCCCATCAGTCAAGATCGCTGTTTGAGTAGCCGTGTAGTTGCTAAGAATGTAAGAATTGACAAAGAAATCACTTAGACAAATAATACATGAATTTTTCAATATTTCACAACTGAAGAAAGCTCGAATGTTTCAAGGCCGTGATGTATTTCTTTTCCACATGCATGAAATTCTATACATAAATTGGGTGAACAGTGAATAAAGAACATTATCCTGAGGTTCTATCCACTTTCTATGAGCGATTAAAAAGAAAAAAACCAGAGTTGTGGAATCGTTGATGTTTCATCAGGACAATTCTCTAACCCACACTGCGTCTACTGATAATACATTTTTGGCCAAACATGGGACCCCTGTATTGGAACCTTCACCTTTCTGACCAAATTTAGCTTCGTGTGACTTAATGTTCTTAAAAGTGAAGGAAGCATTTAAAGCGCCAGGCTTGATTAGTGGAAGCAGTGAAAGAAAAGACAAATTAAGAATATATACACGCTTTCAAAAAATGTCTTAAAACACTGTTCTGAACAGTGAAAAATTCGAATAGGAAAATGTATGGATAGTGGAGAAAAGTATATTGAGAGAAAAGAGACAAAAAGTTACACCAAAAATCCTATCATTTTCTAACCAAACCTCATAGAGTTCGAAGTGAAATGAGTTTTATAAGGTGTCAGTAATAGACACAAGAAACTTACTTCACTTTTGACATGTACTTTACATTTTGTAATGGTTTCTTTGTAAAAATGAAACAGTTAACAATCTACAAAAATTAATCTCAGAAAACATTTATGAATCACATGAATGCAGATAGCTTGATCTAATTTATTTACGTACGTTTTATCACACTCTGAACATGTGTATGGCTTGTCCTTTACATGTTTGAACCTGATATGTTTTGCCAGAAGTGATGGCTTTGAACAAGTCATATCGCACATGGTACACTTGTAGTGATTTATGTGAGAACGAATGTGGTCCCTCAACAATCTTTCACTTGGAAAAAGTTTCAAGCACTGTGAACACTGGTAGCTCTGAACTGAAATAAAAGAAACACAATTATAGTAAACTATAACTTAGATATTATATGATGAGTATTGCCTCCAGTTGTCTATATAAGAGTTGATAAAAACATTCAATTTAAGTCTTATTGCAATACTCACTGAAATTAGATTGTTGTCTTCTTCTGTGGTCGCAAAATTTGGTTTTACTAGAAAAAAGGGTGAAACAAGTTGGACATCTAACTGTCTTTTCCTTCGTATGAGTCCTTAAATGTTCTGATAGTTTTGGCATGGTTGAATAAGTTGTCTCACAACCTGAAATCCAGAGAAATTTTCCAAAATAAATGTACTAAATTGGTTGCAAAATTAAATCATTCATACTTTTCTCGTTTTAAATTAGCATAGGATATCTTTCCTACATGAAATTAAATAATGTATACCAACGTAGTTTCAATCCTAATAGCTTGTAGTCATGTCTCAGCAGCATGATGGTGGGTAGTTAAAAGATGGCGGGAATGATTCTGAAGGGTTTTGAGGCTTCTTTTCATCTTGCAACTATTAGTGTTACTAATTGTATCGTACCTATATAGTTACTTATAACTCTTTGAAACTTCACCAAGTCCATAGGTTTTGACTTGAAGTTCAGTGAAATGAAATTGATAAATTTCATGTGTCCACACTGATTGCATGGTTTTGTTTTAACTGACTGGTTCCAGAAGAAATTGTTGGTTGACTTTTTTTCATTTGACAAACAGACGAACGTGTAATGATTCTGCATTACATCTACAGTTACAGTAACACACTGATAAGATACCCAGACAGGTGAGTCATTATGATTTCTTGTGGTGATTATTACTCTATTTTGATAATAAGGCATGAGTAATCATTACGTTCAATGCTCACAACACCTATAGGTGTAGAAGCAATTTTCAAAAAGTGCTCCCTACATAGGTGCACGGCTGTTAGCTAAATTCAGATCGTTTCTATATAGTGGATTTTTCTGAAAAAGTATTATTAAGACTAGAGGCATGGCCATTGGGTCACAAAATTATAACGCTTAGGTGTGGTTTTTCGTTTTGTTTATTTACTTGTAGGATATCTATCCTAGAATTGATTGTTCTTTTTTAAAGTTTAATTTTTGTACTGTCAGTTTATTTTTCTAATACGAGTTAAATCATCATATAATTTATTATTTTTATAGTTTATTTTAGTTTAAAATAAATCGCTCATTAATATCTGTTACACGAAAATATACGTAGTAAGATGGGTAATAAACACGTTCTTAACTGAATATATGTATACATTTTTTATTATTTTTTTGTAAAATTCATATACGTCCTGTTTTTACCTCATCATCTTTGAACAAAAATGCATATTTGAAATTTGGGCGGCCTGATGAAAGTGTATAAGTAGTGTCATTTATGCAAAATCAGGATTATGTACTTTCCAAATGGAATGGCTCCTTTAATACTGTTTACTATGAGCAACTTATATTTTTGATGACAATCCCCTCAAAACAGGTGGTAACAAATTATACACATTTTTCTTATGTCTTGAGTTTTATTCGAAGGCAAATTGGTACTGGAATCGTGGGAAGAGCAATTTTACATTTTTTTATTAAAAATAGATAGTGTAGCTGGACCTTCTGGTTTATGTAGGAAAAGAAAACTACGGTTTAATTTAATGGAACATGGGAAGTTGATTCATATTTTGGAATCGGATGAAGAAAGTTTGAGGTCAAGTATTGATTGTGACATTAGTGAAATGAGTTCCTATTCGAGTGATGAATATTTGGAAAAAACCCAAATATTTGAAGAACCAAAACAATAGTATAGTGCCGAAGAGTTGATTTCAACAGCAGATGTTGCCCAAACTCATGCTGCGGTTGATGAACGACAGGACATCGACGTGGATGGCTGGTTTAAGTCAGCACTCAAGCACTAATCTGGCGATTCCTGAATTAAAAGTCTATCTTGGACTTCTACTACTAACAGGAACAGTTCAGTTACCCCATTTAGCAGAGCTACTGGAATAACATTGGTTGCTCGGTACGTGCTTTCACCATTATATGTTCAGAAATAGATTTTTATTAATTTTGAGATGTTTACGTTTTTCCGATAATGACAATAACTTCAACCATTGATTAGGAAAGATACGTTGTATTATGGATTATTTTATTAGGAGGATAATATCTATTTTCAGTCCAGGAAAGGACCTCTCCCTTGATGAATCAATGGTTCTATGGCGAGTGCATCTGCAGTTTCAGCAGTTTATTAAAAATAAACGCCGTAAGTATATATAGTATCTGTTTAAAATCTGTTTTTCCGTTAAGTAGCTGTCGCACCCCTACGAACGACAACCCTCAGAAGTTGAAACTTCTAAGGATTAACTAAGGAGAACGAGTTAAGGATTAACGAGGTCTTACCTTTTAACGTGTGATTCCTAACACGGGTTTGACGATAGCAAGTGAAGATCGATCGTTCAGACTAGGGCTTGAACTACCGACCAACACGGCAGTCATTTCGAGTGAGTGAACAAAGCACCCACGCCGAATCGCTTGGCTACCGACCGACCGGTAGCTGTATGAAACTATACATATTAATTGAAGCTACTGGATTGGTGCAGAAATTTATGATATACGCCGCGGCAAATGATGAAACCCGTGGATCTGGCCATGCTGCTAAACTTGCGCCAAAGTTAACAGAATACAGACTGAATTTAGGACATTCATTGAATATGGATAATTTTTACAATAGTACGAAGTTAGTCGAAATGCTTTTGGAGAAAAATACCTATTGTACTGGCACGTTAAATAAGTCCAAAAGGTGTTACTAGTTTACAATTGAAACGGGGAGAGAATAAATCGTTTTTTCGTAATGGTATCTATGTTAGAAACTGGAAAGATAAACGGGATATATTATATATTTCAACGAAGTTTGGAAATATGTTGCAGGATTCGAGAAATAGGTGAGGGCAGGTAAAAGAAAAACCCTTTGCTATTTTGAATTACAATAAACATATGGCTGAAACTGATCGTCACGATCAAATGCTTGCATATTACCCTTGTACTAGGAAGACGTTATGCTGGTATACTTATTTATCCATATTTTTCAGATGAGCGTGGTGAATGCGCACATTCTCTACAATAAACAGATATCATCAATACGGGTACATCTACAAAAATTGTTAAAATCCTTTCCAATACTCGAAAAAGCGTTCCATCAAGACCAAAAAATATCCGACTGATATCAATACTGCCAGAAATATCAAAGATTTTTGAACAACTTATTATCTTCAAATACATTTCATGCAAATTAATCAAGTAGCTGGTCGGTAGCCGGTCGGTTCAAGTAGGTGCATTGTTCACACACTCAAATTGACCGCCGTGTTGGTCGGTGGTTCAAGCCGCAGGCTGAACGATCGATTTTCACTTGCTATCGTCCAACCCGTGTTAGGAATCACACATTAAAAGATAAGACCTTGTTAGTCCTTAGCTCGCAAAGCTTTCGCCTTTTGAGGGTTGTAGTTTGTAGGGGTGCGACAGCTGGTTAACGGAAAAACATATTTTAAACTTATATCATATTTAAACATAAACAGTTTAATTCTTATATGAAGATAAAAGGCGAAGTTCAATTCGCATCATTCAATTGCTCTTCCACTTGACATCACAAAGAAAAATTATCTTAAATTACTTTGACTATTTGTAGATTTGTAATAGATAGGTAGATATTGGGTCGTTTTTACTGTTAATTATTTTGTGAAACAAAGTTGCAGCATGTAACACTCTCCTATCGTTCATATTTACCCAGCCAGCATCATTCAGTTTATGTGATATCCTTTCTCTTCTTCAAATTCCAAAAATGAACTGTAAGCAGGAATTCTGAACTTTTTATATTTGTATCATACCCAGTATTTGCTAGGAGTGACATTGAGTCTTTAATTTGCGTCATACTAGTGTCAGGTTGACGACAACTGGTGACCAAAGCATTTTTCCAAAATCAAGTTTGACTTCAAGTTCATTTTCTAATTGTGTTCACAAAAGTGTTCTCATATTACCTGTCCAACAGCACCTGATCACTTCTTTTTCAGTGTCTTTTGCAGCACCTTCTTTCTTCGTGGCATGTGTCACCACATGATTTAAAAAGTCATAAATGGTATAAAAATTGTATGAACAATTTTCCCACTCACAAGTGTAACCAAAATTGTCGACAGGTACATTGGATACCTCTTTCTGATTACACCTTGGTAAGACATCCCTGTCCACAATATTCTGTCCAATATTAGTTAACTTAGAAAGATATCCATGGTATGATAAGTGCTGCATCAAAAACGGAACTGAGATAGCCTTATAATCGCATTTTGCCCACTGACATAATAGGTGATCTGAAAATACATGAAAATTGTTATATTCAAGAACCATCTAACAAGTTAAAGTTTAACTTATTTAATTTATATTTACACTATTCATTATATTTTATTTTATTTTAATATATATGTGAGGTTTATGTGATTTTAACAAATATCTAAATATTTGATATAATAAAGCAAGGAATACAAAGCCCATAGAAGCTCAGAACTGGCACTTTCGTGTACCCTAAAATGTTTATTAACTTGATCACCAGGAGGCGATGGCAGTACGATGTTAGTATTTAATCTAAGTATCAGTAGAATTGGGTAGCTAGCAGTCGCTGACAACCGCCGGATCATATTAAAGTTGGAATGTACGCAAAAATTAAATTAAAAAGCCGACTGGTTTGTCAGTGACTGCTACCCAGTTCGGTCAGTAATCACATTAAATACTGACATCGTACTAGCATCGCCCTCTGGGGGTCAGGGTAAGTATTAAAAATTTTAGGGTACACGAATATGCCAGTTCTGAGCTTATATGGGCTTTGTACTCTTTGACTAAAATAATGATCTACAATCCCTTTGAGAGTATTTGTTGAACAGCTCTTCTCCTGAATACTTTCTAATGAATACCTGTACTGACGGCAGCATGTTCCATTAAATGAGAATTGAATTTTTCCCAAGAATCGTAAAGGTCATCACATAATTTCCATTGACATCGCATATTGAGTTGTTCGTTAGACAACTTAATGAGAGGATTCTTCTTTTTCCTTTGCCTCTGAAATATCAAAATACATAGATAACAATAATAGTGTTTATAGAGAAATACTTAGTGGCTTTCATTAAACGTAACTTACATGAATAGTTTATAGTTTAAACCACTTTTGATACCATGAAGTCAAAACTGTAATGTCTTGATAGTTCGTTAGTGACTATCCCATACATTTTTTTCTCTAATATTTATCTGTTTTTTATTTAGGATTCCTACGTATGAGACCAAACAAAGGGGTGTTCGAAGTAGGACCTTTGTTGCTATTCATAGAACTCATTCCTAACTTTTTGATTTCCATCCAGAAACCTGTTGTCATGAACCGGTCTCAACAATTTTAAACATTTACCACTTATTCTGTGGTCGTTCTCTATGGCATATTGGGCGACACTAGATTTCTCCGGTCTATGGGCAACATGAGGGTGCGGCATTGGGAAACCTGTTGTCTCCTTTTATGGCCAATCTGTTCACGAGCAGATTTTAAATGGAAGCAAAGGAAGAGTAGGATTACTTTCCACGAACCTGAATCCGATACGTGGATGATGTATTTGCCATTTTGATACGAATAGGAATAAGGTAGTGGATTTTGTATTTTGCCTCAACAACAGATTATCAAATATAAAATTCACTTATGAAATTGAAAACAACGAAAAACTACCATTCCTGGATGTATTAGTTATAGAAAATGTCGGTAAGGGTCCAGGCTAGTCTAGAGTTTGATGTATATAGAAAGAATACGAGGACTTTTAAATATATCCCTGACAGCTCTCATCATGGCCCACAACAAAAAATTACGGGACTACAATTTCTTGTCCATAGACTGCTCACATTTTCCTTGAACAAAGAATGGTATGAGATTGAGAAAAGAGTTGTTAGGGAGAAGGCAAAAGGCAACGGGTATCCATCAAATATAGTGAATAAATTAATTAGAAAACAAACATTTAGGGAGTATCTTTATAATGCCTCGAATTTTCTAAAAGAGGAAGATTCAAAATTCATAGTATACTTCAACAAGTATTGGCTAGTCCGAAAGCAAGACATTAGAAAAAGAAAAGTCTGGGATTTATGAAATAAGCTGCGAGGGTTGTGATAGGAAATATGTTGGTCAAACCAAACAGACTTTATTAGATCGTTAAAAGAAATATGTTTCGCATATTCGGTTTCATAGACCGGAGAAATCTAGTATTGCTCAATATGCCATAGAGAAAGACCACAGAATAAATGAGAAATGTTTAAAATTGTTGAGACCGGTACATGACAAAAGGTTTCTGGATGCCTTCGAAAGCTTGGAAATCGAAAAGTGTGGAATGAGTTCTATGAATAGCGACAAAGGTCGTAGTTTGGACACCCCTTTGTTTGGTCATATACGTAAGAATTCTAAATAAAAAACAGATAGATATTAGAGAAAAAATGTAGGGGGTAGTCCCTAACATAGAGGAAATACATAATAAAATAAAGGTATTAAAAAACAGGTAGTTTAGCAAAGGAACAGTAACAGGTTACAGTTTAAATCAAATCAAATTTATTATTAATCTGAAGACCACAAGTGGTATAAGACATGTCAAAAATTTTGATTATAGAGACAAAAAGCAAAATTACAGAGTAAAAAGTTAAAGTACAAGTACAGACAGAGTAGGTATACTACAATTTAAATATCAAGATAAAATATGCAATTACACACAGAGTATGACAGAATATACAATCAGTGATTTATATACTGAAAAATTCTTCCAAAGTATAGAATGCACCCTCAATTAGTACTTTTTTCAGTGACTTCTTGAATCTGAAATAGGTAGGTTCATCTTTGATGTTTTGAGGAATTTTATTAAAAATTCAAATTCCGATGCTTAGAGGACCGTTTTGTGATAGGTTTAATCTGTTTAGAGGAGTATTCAGCAAATGCCGATTCCTGGTGGAATGACCGTGAATGGCATTACGGCAGAGCAAAGTATTTCTATGTTTGTAAATGTAACAAGTAGTTTCCAGTATGTAAAGAGAAATAAGGGGTAATAATTGTATCTTTCTAAAGAGAGGTCTACTAGATTCTGTTTGGGGTTTGTGAAACATGGCACGAATGCACTTTTTCTGTGTAATGAAGAGACGTTTAGCACCAGGTGCTCCATACTATGATTCCGTATGCCAGTCTCGACCGAATTTCTGCAAAACAGAAATTTTTCATTACTGGAGTTGTCAGAACCTTATGCATACAGCTAATTTGAAATATTTTGGTGGTAATATTTTTTATTAGAGTAGATACGTGGGTTTCCCAATTTAATTTATCATTTATATTCAGTCCTAAGAACTTAAGAGGTATTACGGTTCACGTTAGTGTTGTTTAAGGTCAGGTTGATATTTTCAATTTGATTTTCTCTTGTATGGAAGATAAGAAATTCAGTTTTCGCTTGGGTTTATATACCACTCATTTTTTGAAAACCATTTTGCAATTTCATGCATCAAATCAATACCAGCTTGTTCATTTGAATCATAAGATTCTTTAGATAACAAGATTGATAGATCATCAGCATACAAGATATCTTTTGAATTCTGATAGATAAATCACGATGTCTGCCAGATATAGGGAGAACAGAATTTGAGCTACTACACTTCCTTGAGGAACACCTACTTTCACATGTAGTGTAGTGGAGTAGTGTATAGTGATAAGGCCTTTCTCGTTATGAGATAATGATATATATTGATTTCTATTTGCAAGAAACGAGCTGAACCAATCATGTGCTCTTCCTCTAATGCCGAGTGCCCAGAGTTTGTTTAGTAGCCGATTGTGTGGTACACAATCAAAGGCTTTGCTCAAGTCACAGAATACTCCAATTGGACATTTTCTTTTGTCAAGCTCTTCCAGAATATTGTTTAAAGACTCAGTTGTAGCTGTAGTAGTTGACCGTGCTTTTCTGAATCCATACTGTTCGGTTAGTATTAGATTGAATTTCTCTATGAAAGGATTGAGTCTTTCTAGCAAGCAATATTCAAACACTTTGGAAAATGATTGGTGTTAAAGAGATTGGCCTATATTTATCCAATTTATTTCTACAGTTTTTTTGTGCACAGGTATAATTTTTGATATTTTGAGTTGAGTAGGGACTGTGCCTGTCTCGAAAGAAAAGTTCACAATATGGGTAATCGGCGATAATAGAAATGAGCTGCGTTTTTTGATTACATTGCAAGGGAGGTCGTCAGGTCCCGCGGAGTGTTTGTTTTTGAGTTTCGCAAAGATGTGGACCATATAATTTTCCGTGAATGGCAGTAGCACCATGGATTGTAAGCTTCTATTGGGCATATCTGTAGAATCTTCAAGGGGGTTTTTGGGAATGTAATTAATGATTTTTTTGCAACTTTACCAGGGTCTTTAATTTGTTCATTCCCCTGCAGAATTTGTATATTAGGTCGCATTGAATTTTCCTTATTTTCAAGTTTATTGATGATTGACCAGGAGGCCTTGTTTTTGTTTTTTGAATGTTAGATTACATTATTGAAATGTAACTTTTTAACTTTCTCAATAAGATGTTTATGTTCAGCGAGCCTTTGCTTATATATAGGTTTTAGATCAGGGTGGTATTTTTGAAGAATATATAGATCCTTCAATAATGAACTAGAGGCTTTTATTTCCTCCGAGACCCAGGTGCTGTTAGCTTTACTTTTGTTTTGGAAGTGTTTCAAGGGAAATGCTACATTGAAGTGAGATGCCAGAATATTGATAAGGTTTTTATTTCCTAAAAGATTTTTCTGTCGGAGCGAGGTTCAACAGTGATTTATTAACGTAATTATTTCTGTGATCAGAAATAGGTGTGTCTACTACTGAAGAGATCGCCTGTACATTTGTAAAAACATTATCAATTTTGGTTCTCGAGTATGAAGTTATTCTTGTATAGTCATTTAGTATCGATTTTAGTCCAAACTGTTCAGTAATATTCAAAATACTATCGGCCTCTATAGATGGGGTACTGAAGTCAATGTTGAAGTCTCCGCTTAACCATATTTGTGAACTAACTGTGAATATTTCATTTAAAAGCATCTCAAGTTTGTATAAGAAATTTTGGAAATTACCGGTAGGTGATCTATAAATGGAAAATATTTTGTGGGCTTTGAAGCCTCCACCACAGACCTCAGTCTTTTTCAGTACATATATGATCTAGAGAGATGGAAGTTGCTTCATAACCTTTCTTTGCCCATAATGCAGTGCCCCCTCCTTGATATGTGTTACGACAAAAACTACTCACCAAATAATAATTTCCAGATGGAAAGCTACCTATTTCATTTGCTAATAGCCAAGTTTCAGTTGCCGCAATGAACGGTGGATATGAGTGACGCTCAAGTTCTAGTTAGGGCAAGTTCTAGTTAGGTACTACTAACCATTAGTAGTTAGGTACTACTGACTTTTAGTAGTTGTGTACTACTAACAGGTAGTAGTTACGCCACAAGCATATAAAAACACTAACATAATAGAAAAATTTGAAGATTTTTCAAATATGATTCAATTATGGATTTGAATTTGGTCATCAACAGGAGCAAGCAAGTTTATTAAAAAATATCCGATTCTTTCAAAAGTTTTTTCTAGTTGTCAGTTTCAAAATATTTTCATTCATACGAAACAGTTCAAATCCGATTCTCGCTAATGGGATCCCGTAAATGGAAAGAAAAATAGGGAATTCGTTAATTTAAGACAAATTTTTGTCATTCAGGAAAAACTTTTAGAAATTTCTCAAGATATTGACTACACTTTTTTTGAAGCATCTTCGTTTGTCATGAACATTATATATAAAAATACATTCCAAACATATTTCATTTCTCAACTAGGTCAAAGGTAGTATCTGTACCAGCAAACGTGAATTGATGTAATTTGGTTACGAGTAAGTCAAGTCAACTTTTGGCAATTCAACAAAAAAATTAATTAAAGTGAGAAATAAATAATATCAACTGATTAGTTGGTGCCGGTTGGCGAGTTTCACTCATAAAATCATCACTATTATGTGTATGAGTTCGATTCCTGTCCTAAC